TAAACACCTGTATTTTCACCATAATTTCTTGAAGCTGTAAGTTTAGTTTTTAAATAAAATGGTATTATGGAAAACGTTAAAGTTCCTTTTGGTAACGACACCTAGTGTCATTCTCTTCTCAGATGTAATCACTATTGTAAGTTTGACACTCTGTGAATAATATTTGTTGTTAAGTGCCATCGAGTATGTTCCGACTCATAGCGACCCTGCATAGGGTGTCTGAGGCTGTAAAACTTTGGGGGAGCAGAAAGTCTCATCTTTCTCCCATGAAGTCGCTAGTGGGCTTGACTCACTGCCTGTGTGATTCGCAGTCCAGTGCTTATCATACAAGTTTAGTATAACCACAAAGTTGATGTTCGTTTCCAGCTCTCACTCATGAGTAGGTCCTTGAAAGAACAATGACACAAACAAAATTTGAAAGCGCTAATTTTAAGAGAAATTTTTTTTCACATATAAGATACTGGAAACAATATAATTGAGTGTGGTAGAAAAGGAGGGAAATTGCTTCTCTCCACAGCAGCATTAATGCAATAATGTAGACCTGGTGTCTATAATATTAATGGTAAGGATACAGTAAGACCTAAGAGAATAAGACAGCACCAGTGTCAATAGCAGTGCCATCAGCAGCACTAATGCCAAAGTTAGGGGACACATAGTTTTTTCTTTTATTTTACTTTTTATTGTGAATTGAGTGCAGGCTTACAGAGTACATACATACAACACATCATATACTCTGTTTCAACTCAATGATTGCAATCTAGTCATTGTAACATCTCTTATCCCACTTTCTCCCTGTGATTTAGTTTCCATCCTCCCTCTTTCCCAAACCTTACGAATGTTCTCCTTCGGTAAATGCTGCCCTACTAGTGTTGTATTCCCTATATACTTATTTTTTATTGGCTGAAAATTGAGCCATGAGGTCAAGTTCAGTTCCAGACCTTAAAGGTGACCAAGGGCCATAGTCTCAGGGTTTTACCTGAAGCACAGATTTGATACATTAAACACTAAAGACCCAAGACCAGAAGAGTTGTGAGATGATATCAAGAACATCATACAGGAAGAAAGCAAAATGTCATTAAGAAGAAAAGAAAGAAGGAAAAGGTCAAAA